TTCATTCGTTCGAAGATATATTTAAACTGTTTTTCCTAAAGCTGTTTTCTTGATGCTGGAACAATTTTTCATTACTTTTTTAATGCCGTTCGATTCACACTCACAAAGAGTTCAAAAAGATATATCAGTCAACCTATTCCAATAAATTTTGTTTTACCTGATTTTGCCTGGAACACAAAAAAAAACAACGAAAATACGCCCGAGTAAAAACTCAATTGATTTACGTATAATAAATCAAAAAGCTTAATCAATACCAAAGAAAAATTTCTTTTCAATGACGGAAATTTAATTTAAAAAATTGAGGTAAGGAGAATATTGTGTTTCAGTTTTTTCGAGTTTGCATTGGTTAAGTCATGGAACAAAGCTTGTGCAAATTGCCGTCTTTTTATTTTTTGAGCGCATGATGCAAAACCCGAGTTTTTAAATGTATTCAGTGTAAAAACTATTCAGTTGTGATTCGCACTTCACTAAAAAATTATCGCAATAATTTAGTAATTTTGATTCTTTGTTTTAATTGATTTTTTTTTACATTTCCCGGGCTTTTAAACAACTCTTAAACTATGTTTTCGAAGTTTTTTAAAATAAATTTTTAAACCGTGGTAGAAAAACGACTGATTTTTTCTTCAAAACATCTTTCAGACCATTCGTTTATTTGGTGCACCACGCCCTAATACTGAGTGGAAAAAGTGGCAAAAAACATTGAATGGTATGAATAAAATTGAAATGCGATTGTTACAACTGGCATTAACAAAACGTTTATAGCAAAAACAAATGGTATTTGGGTTGTTAAAAACGAAAAAAAAAATTGTTTTAGAAAACATCGTTTGTTGCCAAAGTCTAGTACTTCTCTTTTAAACTTGTTGGTACTGTGCACGAAACCAATAGAAGAAAAGTCATGCATGTCAATGTGCAAAACATCAAAATAATATCCAACAAAAAATCATATAATTTCCCCTTTTCTTGATATGATTTTTTTTGAAATCGTTTCCAATACAAATATACAAAGAGAAAAAATCATAATTAAAAGATTGAACTCAAGCCTATGTATTATATGCAACATTATAGCAAGAGAAAATTGATTATATAAGTTTTCGATTTAATAATAATATTTAGTAATAAATGATTGCTATATACGTTTGCTATTTTCTAATAATTGTTTGAAAATAATTTCTTAAAAAAGTTGAAATTTTTTGAAAAAAATTTAGTTAAAGTAATTTGAGGCGAACAAAACGGGTTGCCACCAGTCTAGTTTGTATTGTACTAAAATAGCGCCAGGCCCGTTGTGGTTGGCATTGCAGACGATTCTGGCTTCGCAAAAACCTTACAAGGCTTTAATTCGAAAAAGGTTCTACTAGCTTGCTTAACTGTTCGAATGTGATAACACATCCCTGTGACTGGTAAATTAGTTCTTTAAACTTAAATGGGGTCGCAGTTGGAAATTAAATTCAGACAGGTTGAGATTGTTCATATGCAGACTTTTGAAGTTTGTGTGTATTACCTTTTTAGATAATTTATTGCTTTTTTTTCGGTTTTTGCCGTTTAAATTCTGTAATGGTTTACTGTTTTAATTATGTTCGTTTCTTCTGAACTGATTATTTTGTATCCCAACCTTGCACTATCTTGTTTTGCAACTCTGAAATTCTCAACTAAAATGTATCTATAAAGGTGTGTGCTTGCGGGAACTCCTTCAAAAGTGAGTAAATTACCTTTTGGAGTACTATCGCCATTCAATTGCTCTTGTATTTCAATTTTGTAATTCGGAAGTTTTAGCGCGCTGTTGTCGAAGTGAAGTTTCTTCAACACGCCTTTCAACGGTGTGCCTGTAGCTTGATGGAGCTCCCGCCGGCATTGTAGTTAAGATTTTTTGATTTCCCCAGCAAAAAATTGCTTGTTTTTGATTTTTTTAAACTGCCACATGGGTTTTGTTACCTGTCCGTAGGCGTACGTGAAATCTAAAATAGTCAAATACATTTCACCCGACTTATGCTCGTGAGTTTTTTTAATTACCCACTGCCTCATTCATGAAAAGAAGGCATCAATTTTGTTCTCTTTAATTGTTTTTTGAATTCTTTTGACTCGAGTGTGATGTATATACTTCCATCCTTCTTCATTGTGGTGACTCTTGGCGACAAAACGTTGTTTTTTTTGTCGAAACACTCCTGAGTTTTCGTAATGTGCTCTTTTTTGTTATTCGGTTTAATTTTTTGTCCGTCATATCTTGTAGGTTAATAGGCACAAAATGATTTTTTCGCAGGACCGGTTTCAGTATTCCCAAGAATTTTGCTTTCAATTTGCAAAACAATTCTTTTTTATTTTATAATTCAATTTTAGGGACAACTTATAGATATACGTCTGTCACTCGTCCGATTCCTCCCTCTCAACACCTCCATATGTTTCCACCACTTTTCCCCGCTACATCAACTCGAGAAATCGCTGTCAAACCGCTGTCGAGGACACGCTGTCAAACTATTGAATCGTGCCTGTGGACTCGCTGTCAAATCATAGCCACATCTTTTATCCAGAAACCTCAGCTTGAACTCTTGGTCTGCGTATCTGTTTTCTACCGATTGCTTTTTCTTTATCGACATCACTGTATATTCATCTGATTCGGACGATGTTGAAGTTTCTTCGCCTTCTCCTGTTTTGCTGATTAGCCCATCCAAAAAGCTTCTCTTGTAAGCACCTGTTCGCGCCAGTCTGCATACTCTGGTGATGCTCATACTACTCATGCGCCAACCCTACTCAGTCTCATCCTCCCTACTAGTTTGTTTCTTTTCTTGCTGCTCCCTCGCACGTTTTGTCGAATTGCCCAACTTTTCTGCGGGCATTCCACATTGTATTGCGTATGGATATGGACAGTTGGGTAAGTCCTGTAATGTAAAGCTTGGGGCATCACAGTTATTGCATCGTCGAGCGCTAGCACTTTTCGCCGCCGGCGTGGATAGTCAGCCCCTCTCTTTCGGTTTTGAAAATATACCGATACTCTCCTGATAATTCTTACTTGGTCGTGTCATGTGGCGCTGGCGACGCTGTTTTATGTATCAAATTTGTATGCGCGCACTTTCTTCTTGCAGATTATTGCAACGCGGTAAACCTCATCCGGAGTTTCCGTCGCTCTTGACAACTCCCTCTGGCAGTTCAAAATTCTTTAATTTTTTTTGTTTACCTGTCCTGCTAATGCCCATAGTGCTGTGGCAGATAGCGCCCCCTCAAAAGAGAAGTTTTTGGGGTTATTATCATACTTGACGAGCATTTCCTAGTAGAACTTGATAAACCAAATCTCAGAGATTGCTGCTGGTGTGGAGCACTTGAACCACAAAACAAAACAATGCTCAATGGATTCCTCTGGCTCACTTTTTCTCGACAGACCGCACCATGATAGAGGTGCGAAAACGGATACTTTATTTCTTCATCCAACTACATGAACTCAAAGTATAAAAATCATCTTTTTGTTCTAGGCAAATCTAGACTACCTAGAGGTCAACAGGGTCAGTGGCGATCGACAGACAAATATACTCAAGTTCAAGGACTTAACATATATTTAAAAAAAAACTTGTATGGCACTTTCAGATCACATCCGACTCTAGAATATACAAGCTAGCAAAACACAAAAGACTTACATGATTTAATTGTTTCAAGCAAATTGTTGAAGAGAAAAGGTCTATCAATAACAGGCTAATTGTCTTATAATAGACTCATAGAAATTGATGCGTAATTTTACTCTTACAAAACCCGAAAAATACCAAGGATTTAAGGAAACACCAACATACACACGCTATAAATTACAAAAATTTTGAACATGGATAGCCAGCTATTTTTTTGTAGAATGTTTTTGATATTATGAAAGATTTGATTCCTAAAGTGGCGTTAAGAATCAACAACTAACTTAACCCAATTATATTTTAGTTTTCACGGCTCAAACTAAGCCTAAAAAAGCTATTTTAAGCCTGCATACGTTATTTTGGAAAACCCTTTTAGCTCGAAAGTAGACCAAAAATCAAAAATTGCAAACCAGTTTTTCTCGACATTGAGAAAAATTTTAAAACTTTTTAAAAGCTATTCGAATCGCGACTGAAAGGGCTTTTTTGATATACTAGTCGAACCATTTCCCCCTTCCAATGATAATTCGTTGAAACCGATTTTGCGTGGAAAACAAAAAAGAAACAAAACAATAACACACCCGAATACAAAGTTCCTCCACATTTTTCACATGGTCGTGGTGCTCTGTTCAAAAGCTTTGAAAGTACTACTTACAACATCGGAAACTTTCTAGTTTTTGAACAAAAAGGTTTTTTCATAAAGTGGTAAAGTGTACCTGACAAACAACAATGATCTCTTGAAAAGATCAGTTGAAAAAATTGAAATATTCTTTTTCTTTTGATTTTCCAATTAATATATTATTCCCTCTAAGTTACTAATAACAAAGACTCGATGGGCTAAAAAATTTTTCGCTACGTCTATTTTGGAAGTTTTAAATTGCTGGCCGTAACTTTTTACATCCAACTGATATTACTTTTTTCGAAATCTTAAATTTGCTCGTATTTTTTCATAATCCCAAAACTTCACACCCCTATTTTTCAAAAAAAATATCCCTTTGAAAGACTTTTTAATTTTGAGACCCAGTATCAAAAGTGTTCATATGGTTACACAATTAAGCTCAAAAACCAGCGTATAAGACTAATTTTGATAGGATTAGAATAAACTTTCTTGAATACAAACATTCTTTTCTTTTTTTTTCGATATTCAGAACAAAAACTAACCCAATTACAGGCAACTTGCAACCATTAACGACGATTGACAATAAGAAGACAGTAAATGAACTTCATTAGAGATTAAAAAATTATGACTCGGCCCAACTCTAGAAAAACAGTTTTAGGCATAGAAAAAAAAATTTTATCTTTGTTTTTGAACTATCTTTTGACAAGTTACACGTTTTTAACGTTTTTCTAGGTGAGAGAGACGGGATCATTTGAAAAGTAGTTTTTTTTAAATAGAAGAGCAAAATGAAACAATTTATTAAAATTGGCATTAATTTTTTCTCTAATAAATGGCACATATCGCATACAAATAAGTAAATAAGAGATCTGAACCTAAAAGTTTTCCACGATACATCTATACAAAAATCTATCAGAAGTCTAGAAGTGGTTTTTACAGGATTTATTGCGCATCAAAAAAGAAAGAATTGGTCGCTCGGTGCAAAAAATGCAATATTATAAGTTTGAAAGATTATTGAAATACGTTAGGGTTTGTAATAAGCGCAACTTTTTTTATTACAGAAACAGAGGTTTGAAATACTAGAAAGCAAACGTTGTTATAACAGCCGTGGCCATTTTTTTAAAACTGATGAAATAGTTTTCGAGTTGCAGATTTTTAGGTTTTCGTGCATTGGCAGATAGCTTATTTCTCCATTTGCAAGTATCCAAGATCGGTTCTTCCAGATCATGTTATTAAGGCAGCCTCTCATCTTGATTAAGTTGGTTTCGATGCCTGATATATACTCCAGCTGTTAATCAGATTGTTCAGAATTTTCAGGTAATCTTAGTTTATCGTGTATCCCAAAATCACACAGCGTTGCAAATCTATACTAGGTTCCAGACAATCATGAAGAGGTTAAATCCCAGATGTTGCATAGTAAACACGTGTCCTAAGGATCCCAAGGAAATCGGGTTTGTTAGTAAGCAAACTTCCAGACATCTATGAGACAACACACGGAATGGAATCTATACAGACTAGCTATGGGTCCTATAAAGTGTAGAATAATTTGCCAGTTTAGTATGCCGTAGAACTCTTCAGGGAAGGGGTTGAGACTGCTCTCTTTCAGTTCGAATATGATGGTGATCCAGAGGGTGATGTTGACAAGGAGGAAGAAGATGACAAATGACTTGGACGGTTTCTTTCTCTTCCGTCTGGGACACCTGCGTAGTCCATCCAGTAGGTAGACGGTTTGAAAAGCAGTCTCAACCGCCTGAACAAAACATTTATTTAGTATTGAGCTGATGCTAGCAAAGAAACATCACATTTTTCATTGAAAATATTACAAAAAAAAAATGGAAAATACCCTTTAAAAATTATATTTAAAATCAAAGTGAAAAAGGTTTAGTTTTTTGTTACATTTGTGCCACTTTTCTATCGCGTTCCATTTTCTATGAGATTAAAACTTCTCAGTGACAAAAAAAATTAAAAAGCACACAAGAAGACAACCATTGGTATGGAATTAAGAAGTTCCAGCTTACCTGTAAAGAATAGGAGCCGACACAGGCTATGGACGAGTAGCTTCTCGAGGTCAACAGTTCTAGCAGGGCGGCCATAATATTGAGGACACAGTATGCGAAAGCGCCACAAGTGGTCACGATGAGGATGGGTTTGTTGAGGGTGTTGTGGTAGTGGTCCTGTTTTCTATGTCTCTTCAGGGTACACAGGGCTATGGGCAGCAGGAGGATCATGATGCCCAGCCACACTCCGTTGAAGCCCTAGAAAAGACGGACTGCCATCTTATTATTTGTGCAATCATTAATAAGTTAATCGGTAACGCAGGAATTGTGATTTGGAAACTTAGTGTGACTAGGAACAGGAAACGAAACTTGGAAAGCGAAAGGGTAAGATATACATAATAACAGTCTATAAGTAAAGTGTACTGATAAAAGGATGCTGTAGAGAATGACAAAAAAAAACTTTTTGGACAAGCAGAATGCATCAAAAAATTCTAAGATCGATCTTTAAAAAAGTTTGCCTAAAAACGCTAGTTTTTCAGACAAAAATCAAGTCTCAATCTGCCAAAGAGGATGTTTCGGTCTGAATTTCTGTCAAAGACTATATGTTCTGTTGCGTACCTGGTATACTGAGATGACGTATTGGGTGATGTGTATGTCTGTGGAGAAGAAGACATACAACACTAGTACACAGACACTACTGGCCACAGCCAGACTGCCCCACATCACACCCATCACTCCATCTTTGCACCTGCAAACGCAACCGAGCGTGAATACTTCTAAAATTATTGGATAATTCTTGTTGTTCCGACCACTTCGCGAAGTCGGAAGTAACGATGGTGTAGAAATTTCCAGTTTCCCATCTTTTCTCCAATTTCTAACCTCCTCGCAATATATGAAAGAGAAACGGTGTAAACATTTTTCATTCAGCTATGTTGCAAAAACTGTTCAAATATTTTCATTGGTTCACAATATTTTTTATGATTCTGGTCAAATTCATAACTAAAAGAAATTCTAAATAGCACATTTCAGAAAGAGTGTTTGACACCTCAAAGAGAGTTCATAACCCGGGTTGACCACAACCAGAGTAAACAAGCTTATCAAACAATTCCATTCATAAAATCTGAAAAAAATGCTTATTGTACAATTTCCAACTATAAAAACCGCATGACTAGCATTTTTTCATGAACAATTTTTGTTTTATTGGAAATCATAAAACAAATTATCAAGGACTTAGAAAAATGTAAACTGAAATTATATAATGGGCTACATTTTATGAAATAGCTGTATTATTTGGAAAGTTTCCAAAAAGAATGCTAATCAAATAACTTTCCAGAAACAACAAAAACTTTTTTTCTTTACGACAAAAAAAAAACATTTTTTTTCTCAGAAAATTTGATAAGAACCGGTGTGTTAGGGGGTAAACTTTTGAAATCTCTGCTTGAGAAGTGTGGTTCAATTCTCAATTTAACATAAAATCATGAAATTTTTGAGAATTTGGCGCAAGTGAAAAGTGCGTCTCCTCACAAAAAAGTTACAAAATTGAAATGCAAGGGCTCATTTTATGTCTAGGTGGTCGTAGACAAAATAGCAAACGAACTGTTTCAAAAACTTTAATACCAAATTTAGATTTTCAGACAGACTTTATATCTCAAAGTCTACGGATAAATAAATTTTAGATGCAATCTTTGCTCAACTTGGCAGATTGCTCTTTGAAAATAATTCTTATCTGTTGTATTTTTTTTAGAATTTTCTCCTTTACTAACTTGAACTCTAGTTGTTTGTCGTGTTCCTCCTGACTCTCCTCCCTGTGCTCTATGGCATAATTCTTGCCCACATTCTCCCACATGATGCCCATGATGCAGCCGGCCACCACACAATAGGCCACTGCCATCGGGAACAGAATAGGAGTCGACTCCTCCTCCAGGTCAGTGAAGGAGTTGGCGAAGTTTCTCTCACACGCCAGTCGGATGTTGTGAAAGTGTCCTGATACAATCAAGTATATATAATCTTTGGTGACGCAGCAACCCGTGAAATTGCATAAATTTTAATTTTTTTTGAGTTTTTCTTCCGGTTAAATTCAGATTTAGAACACTTAGTACGAAAACTCGCACAAATTTCTTACCTAAAATAGCGAAAGGTAAACCTAATGGATATATACTGTACAACATGCACAAATGGATCTGGGGGCCACATTTCGAGAACTTACTGAGAATTATTCTTCTCTTCTCACAAATGCTTAGCAAACTGAACCCAATAATTTTTCCAAATTTGCTTGCAGGTAAATTATTGAACTTTTAAAAAAAGTATTTGACTCTCAAAATGGCGCTAAAAACTCCAATAGCTAAATTTAGTTATTTAAAACTAACTTTTCAGGGCTTAAATTAAGCACACTTAGGCTGCTTTAGGCCTGCCGGCTCGCTCTATTCGCTCAAAATTGAAATGAAAATCAAAAATTTTAAACCAGTTTTTTTTTCGATACAGAGGAGTTTTTTTTTCAAATCTTTAGGGTAGTTTGAATCAAAATTGAAAGGGCTTTAGTTTGGAATATCACTCGACCCATTCCCATAACTATTTTGGTACTTGATTTTTTGTGGAAAACAAAAAGAAAAAAAGAAGAAAAATTAAAACATACCCGAATACAAAGTTCCTCCACACTTTTCAAATGGCCGGAACAACAACGACACTTCATTTCTTTTTCAAAAAACATTTTGTCGGAACCTTTTTGTTATCAGCACAGCAACTCGCATATCTGGAAATGTTAATTTTGACTAGAATTTGGTTCCGACCACTTTACGAAGAGGGGAGGAACAATGGTGTAGAATGGGATTTTTCCCGCCCTTTTTTCCGGGTTAATCTTCGCACTAAAAATGCTAGTCAAACAATTTCTTGTCATAAAAATACTATGAAAAGCATTATTTTGTATACATTTTTTACAACAACAGAAATAATTTAAACTAAATATGACGACGTTCCACTTTCATAGTTGATACACAACATGGTTGATACACAATTTAGATACAGCAAATCGGAAAACTATGTAAAACTTGTTTCAAAATGAATGTTAGTCATACAATTTCAAACTATGAAAACTATTTGACAAGCTTTTAGAAAAAATCCAAAAAATTTTTGCTCTCTCATTATGTGCAAAATCACAGTGTGAACAACATTCTAGACGTCAGAATTTTTTCTAGGCGGGTGAATTGCTTGCTTCATGAGCGTAATGTTGTATGATCCGAATTTTTGCCAACCCGGATTAGGTGCCTCAAGCAAGTCTCAAACGCCAAAACTCTATTGATCTTTATTTGAATTCCAACCCGAACATATGTCAGATATATATTTATCAAACTAACAGTATAGAAATTAAGCGTTTTTTCTAATGTAGAAAACAACTCGATTTTATTGCCAACAAAATTGATGTATATCCAGTTGAAAGATTTTTTATAATGATTTTTCATAACGAATTTTTTTGATAATGAAGACACTAAAAGCAATCAAAGTCTCATCAAATCAATTTTTGGTAATTTAAAACGAAAATGATAGATCGCAAAAAGATCAATTGTTCAACCTAAACACTACGAAAGGAGTTTTTGTAAATTTGAACTGACTTCCTTTAGTTTTCTTTGGCCGATCAACTGTCGCTAAATTTCCGAACAAGATTGCTCGTATCAGGGCGAAGCCCTGAATGTTCCGACTGCCTTTTAATGTTTATTGAGCAACAGTAACAACATTTAAAAAATTGAATGAAATAAAACAAAATGAATTTTTTTTTTCTTAAATTTGAAATTTTTATTTGAAATCATCCCCCCCCACACGCCATATAAAACATAAAAAGATAGATTTTGCTACTTGTAACAAACCAATCATGCCAAATAAGCTTCCTTCAACCAATTTGGAACGATTTATGAGACGAATTAAATCTCCGCTTACGCGTTAATAGCGCGATTTATATCGCGCTTTAATTGTCCCAAATTGGTCAAAATCTTTAAACTCTCATAACTTTACGAAAAATGATCACAGGTGAAATATCTTTTCAAATTTGAGCTCAAGACAACAATACCTTTCGAATGATATAAAAAAAATTTCGTCAAAAAAGGCTAGTTAAAAAGTCGAAATTTGTCTGAAGAAAAAAAAACCCACCCCGAGCACAAATATTCCGTTAGTTTCGTATCGAAAGTCGGAACACAAAATATTATAAAATTAAACTGACTTGAACTTGAATTAAATAAAAAAAGAAATGCATGTTTTTCAGTAATTGTCAATGTTTTTTTTTTCAGCAATTGTGCTAATATGAGGCAGTCCATCTTTTTCCAAATAATTTATTATGTATACAGAAGACTATGATGATTACATACATCATCTTAGCCGAGACTCCGAGAAGAATTGGAAACTATAGTTCTACTTATGATTTTTGAACATTCTTCAAAAAAAATTAATTTGTTTGCTTGAATTTCCCTTTACTTATTTTTGATTTGAATTAAAATGAATTTTGCATTATTTTTGTGCGTATATGTGTATAATTAGGCATAAGTTCAGTTATACATCTTCATTAAAACGGTTGTAAACTGTTCATTGTCAGTAAAGAATTTCTACAGTTATTTCAATTTTGCAGTTTATTTTCTAATTTGACAAGCTTCCATTATAATTAGAAACTGAAAGTTTGAAATATATTTTTTGTGTGTTTTTTTTTACCCAGGTTTTAATTGGATTACTGTAGCCGGGCAATTTTGCACCTCTTGGACATCAACCGGCTATTTTTATTCGTACAAGCACAAAATCACTTAAATAGTTACATCTTGAAAATTTTTGGTGATTGTGGGAGTTGCTGGGATTGGCTTATGTATCAACCCTAGGGTTCGAGTGTTGTCGGATCTTAATTTTGGGGGAAGAAGGATGTCGGGAGTCCGCTCCATTAGCATAAAAATTTGAAAACTTAATAATGTAACGACTAGCATCATTTTGATAGCTTTATTTCTGAAACTAGCATGACTGAGAAATCGAAAACTCTGCGCCGCCGAACATCAGGCCAACAAAGTTATTTTTAAGCAGTTTTTGGATTGAATTTTGTTTTGCGCGCGCTCCCCCTAAATTTAGAACAATTGGCGCCAAACTCTACTTTATAAAACTTTTAGGGTCGGTAATTTATAAAATGGATATGTCAAAGCAGTACAAAGGGGGACCCTTTGGGTCGGCAGATGGTCGAGTCCCGGTTGGAGACTCTAGTGATTTTGTACTTCTCGACAATTTTCAACTTTTTGACAATTTTGGTCGACACAGGTCGGAATTAGTTTGCTGTACTGTTATTCGAAGAACCATTCTTATTAGGAATCAAAATTTTCCGCGGAAATTAACATAAAAAATCATTTGGGAACAGTTTATGCGAAAGCCTGAAAGCTTTGTGCAAATTACGGTCAAATTGTTTTCGTCATGGTAAAGTAACATGAGCTTAACACAGTTTATATAACTTTCGTCATAAAAACACTAGAACAGCTTCTGGCGCAGCCTGCCAAACGCTCGGAGCTGTTTAATCTGAGTTCATAACTCCAAACTGTTTCCAGTCACGTGAATAATAAGACATAGTCTCTGTTTGTCAACTTCAAAATGTTGTCATTAAAACAGGGACATAGTTTTGTCTTTGACAGAGCATAACATGTTTTGTGGGGAAAATCTTTCCGCTAATCCGTAGTTAAATTCCAAGTAAACTGAAATGGTATTTACAGTGATTTTATCTTTCGACCGGAAATTCTCGAATTCGATTTGGGAAATTTCGACGACAAACAAATCGGGCCTCTTTATGTTTGTATCTATTCACAGTAGGTTCAACCTTTTAGCCTTTTTCCAGATCATTAAATTCAATTAATTTTTCGGTCCACGCGCTCTGAAAACATATTTACGAACTCGACACCGGGTTTTTTTTTATACGTCAGATAGTTTATGACCTCATTTTTGGAAAAAATGCGACTTTTTTTACTTGTTCAGCTCAAAATCGTTAACCTTAAAAAAAGACTTGAAAAAAAAAAAAATTTTAAAAAAAAACAAATTTGAGGACTCTTTGGTTTTATTTCATGAAACCCATTTTCGGCGACCAACCCTTAAGTTTTGCTGAAGGCGCCTTTGGTCTAATTTGCTTGAATTTTGCTTAACTTTTGCTAAAGGCCCCTTAAGTTTTGCTAAAAGCGGATTGCAGCATATACTCTCTATGCGTGCAATAACTAATCTTGCACCAGTTTTTAAGAATCCATCCGCAAAGTAGTGCTCTCGGAATGCGACAAGGAGTTATAACAATACTGTCAATAAAAGAAAAAACGACATGTTTTAAAAGAGTTCACTTGTCCTGGAAAACTGCCTCGATATCTATTTGCACAATTCATACGAAACATTTACTCTAAAAAAACACTTCAGCGTTTGCAGTCAAAAATTTCCACCAGCAGCAATATATTTTCTGCAGAAAAAAGACTGGATAGAAAAAACGTCAATATAAAACTGCGGTCAAATATTTTTCTATTGTAGCAAAAAGAAGAAGCGCTAAAACGTTTATCAACTTAGAGAGAGAAAAAATAATTTTGTCCAGCGGAAGTTAATATTTTTTTACAGACATTTCAGGTCAATAAATGATACATTGTTTTTGAGAAACGTCTAAAGAATTACTAGTTTTTTAATACTTCTAAGTTATGAACCCACAGGAATTTCCTGGATAATGATCGATTATAATGGATTTTCATTGTCAGTCTCAATAAATTTCAAATGCAAGCGATTAAAAGTGGATCATAATCCCAACAGTTTTTATTTCAAAATAATCCGTTTTGATCGGTTATACTAAATAGAGTTTTTTCAGTTGTTATTGATGAAATTTGCAGTTTTTTCAAAGTTATTTCATTTCCTATTTAGTGCAACTTTCGCCCAACTTTACTATCGCCATTCGCCCACTGCTCCTCCCCCCACTTTCAAGTAAAGGGGTTGTTCAATGGTTGAAAATAGTTGAACGGGGGGTATTTGATGGATGAAGGGGGATTTGAGGGTTGAATGGGAGAGGGGGGTTGACTGAAGGAAAACTCCACCAAGTCTTCTTTAAAAAATCCTACCCAGATAACCCCCACCCCAAATTAAACCCCCCTCCCAGTTTACTGAACGTGGGTGCTAGGAGCGAAGGATTTAAAATACTAGGAGGGTTAAAATTGGGATAAAGAGCTAAAGTTTATGATGATTACCTCTCCCCGGGGTAAACAGAGGTGCAACTAGAAAAAAAAACTGCAGGAAAAAATACATGATTTGGTGAACTGATTTCGTTTTTTCTAAAGTTGTTTAATATTATTTACTTCAGAAGTTATTTTTGTTTTGTCTTAGTTCTGCAGAAAAAGTGCAACAAGCTGAGTAAACCATTTTTCTGGAGAAAAAAAAAGATTACAATGGATTTTTAAGGAGAAAAAGTCAATTATCAAAGAAATTTGCTGAGAATTAAATCGATTTTAATAGAAAATAAAATGGATTTTTTCTTAGGAAAAAATAGATTATAATTCATTAAAATCAATTTAATTTTCAAAACTGGCATCTATAACCGAATGTTTTGTTTAATGTTTTTGTCACTAAAAACTTTATAATAGATTATTACTGATGAAATTCCAGCAACGGAATTCATCAATTGAAGCTGAACAACTGAAAAACTCAAGTATGTTAGCAAAAACGATATAAAAGCAATTAAAAAGGAATGTTTTGGTTTGAGATGAGTTTGCTAAAAAAAAGAAACTTCCTCGTAAAATCCATGAGTTTCTTAAATAAGTGTTTGCCCTGACTTTTTTTAAAGTAGGTACTGAATGTAATGAAATGGCTTGAGCTATACTAGTCAATTCAATTCGTCTTCTGTCAAATTTTTCATATTTGAGAGGCTGTGGCTTGCATTTCTATAAAATTTTGCTTTGAAAAACTATTAAGCAAAATGTTGAGGAACTTTATTTGAGGAATCTTAATTGGCCAAAAAGCTTATAAAGCACGGAGACTTGAAAATACCTTGCGTATAAATTTTAACCAATAAAAAAGTATTTTACCAAAATATACGGTTCAAATTTGAAGTTTTTTTTAGTTTTAAACATGTGTGCTCAGTTTTCAGCTTTTTGGCAATGAGGTATCTAATTTTTTTTTTAAAATAATGTATACCTTTGGCGTGTATGTGTGTGTGCGCGTAGTCATTTGTTGCTCTACTAGTTTTAATGACTGAGTAAAAGGGGATTTTTAGCCTAACAAGTTTCCATGATGTGAAAGTCATATTCAAAGAAATGTTGATCAGTGTCAGTTATTAGGTGAAAAAAGCGAAAAGCAAAATGAAAGTCAGTGATTTTAAGGCTACTTTGTAGATCGTTTTAATTTGTAGATCGTTTTAATGTTCATGATTATCAACGAAAGCATTTTAACAATGCAATTGAGTCCCCAAGCAACGACAACATTTCGAGCTGAATCAAGAAATGATCAAAAGTTAACTTTTTTTCAAGCCAAGTTGAAAATATAAAAGAAAAATTAATTTTTCGAGTAATTTGGAACACGCTAGAAAACTTTTTGCAAGTTTTTTTATCAAGGCAACAACAACTTTAGTCTTCCTTCAAAGTGACCTAATCGGATGATGCTAATTAGGTTCTGTCTTTAATTTCAACCAATTCAAAAGCATATTAACTTTAGACGCAGTGACGAGGGACTTCTAAGATTGTTGACGAATTTTTTCAACACGAAACAATGCAAACAGTTATAATTATGTGATAAAGTTTGCCAAAAAATTACTTATCGCGCAAACTCAAAATTCTTTTTTCGCATAAAAGTAATGAGCTCATCTAGTGTCGCTTGACTAACTGGGTATATTGGCGACTATGCTCTCCTGGGTCTCCTTGACAGAGAGGATGAACCAGAGGAAGAAGTCCGTGGCGATAATGTGGGCGATGAAGAACCTCGCCAGACCCACACAGCCCTGGATGCACACTTTGGAGTGCAGCAGCAGCACGAACAGCTGCGCCACTAAAACAAGCTCGAGTTGCAGAATTACTACATAAGAGATACTGACTTATAGAGGAGAAATATGGTCATTGTAGTGATTTGAGGGATCTCGGATAATCAATTGTTTGGTCGACCTAAAAAAATATCGACAAAAATTTTGAATTTTTTTTTAAATTTCATCCCCCATGGAGAAAGTCCTGATTACGCACCTGATTATGACAACAAACTATTTTAAATGTGGCTCAAAAACGGAATCACAGTCTTGTTGCTCATTTTAAATGTCCAATGTGAAAAAAACTATGGCCTTACCCTGGAATAGTACTCTCAATCCGAGATGTATGAGTCTAATATTGACCATACATGCCCCCTCCTCCGAGTACTGAAATGTCTCTGCCACCACCATGCCACTGTGGGTGAGACTCCCAATGCAGAACACGAACAGTCCGACGCAGATGTAGATGCTGCCGTTGTGGTGGTCCACTGGAGCATTGCTCTGGCGTCTGGAGTAGGAGGCGGAGGCGCACAGATAGAGACACGCCAGGGATCCCATGGCAAACTAAAAAGGAAAAGTACTATATAAGAGAAATATCAAAAGTTAGCACTATCAAAATTAGCAGTTGAACCCAAAAAAACCTGAAAGTCGTGATTTCCACGATCAACCGAGGCAGTTTCGAACTCAATTCAGGATTCAAAAAAGTATCATCCCCAAAAAAATGTTATCTTTTTTGATAATTTTTTGACAGATTTTGATGCAATTTGAACAAATGGATGATCAACTCAGCAAAAGTTCACAGCCTTTTTTTTCGCATTTGGACATCATATTTATCATCGAAGTTATTGATCACAAGAAGTTTGGCCTAGCTATTTTCCTGTAACTATTCAGTTCTGAGAATGCATACCATGTATCCGGCGAACATGTCGTTGTATTCCTCGTGTAATATGACGTCACTCATAACTCCCCTTGTAGCTATCACTGCTCCCGCTATGATAGTCAGCATCGCGTACAGAGCACTAGAAAAAACGAACACGCAATCACCCATCATACCGGAAAACTTTGCTCAGCTCGAACGGCGGGCGAGCGTCATTAAAGCAAATTTTGAAGGAAAATTAAGGCTCATAAACCAATTTCTTATGATTTGGCCTAGCAAGAACTTTTGAACTTGTGATTTCAAAATATACATTTAGCAAAAAAGCGTTAGAAAATTAGTTTTTACTGGAGTTTAGTGGACAACTCGATCAGAAAATAATTGACATCATTGAAAGTTACTACAAACTACTTCATAATTGATACTTTTGATTTTTTGTAGTTGATGCAAACGACCTTTGCTTTAACTGTTCAAAAGCTCGCGCTTGAAAAAACTTGCCAAAAGTTTCCAAGATTTTGCATTGAAAATTTTGATAATGACTTTGAGAATGACCCCCTACCCATCGCCACTTCCCCCTTTCCATTACCTGATAGTCTTTGTGGCAGATGGGTCTGTGGAGAGTGGGATGGTGCTGACAACTGAAGTGGCCATGGAGATATGTGTGTGTCTGTCGTCCTCGTCGTCCTCGTCTATCACCTCATTCTCTCCCCCTCCCCCTCTGTCACGCCTGAAGTTCTTCAGAGGAACTGTCTCCGTGATCTCCATCATTGTACTAAACAGTTCACACATTCTACATTTTTTTTATAAATTTTCATTTTCGTTCCATGCTTTTTAAGCCAAGGTTCTTACAAATAAAGTGTGCAAATCACTTAGCTATTTTTGTACTAAACAATTAATTTTGTTATTAAAAGAAGTGAAATTTGTATTTTCTTAGTCTTACTTTTGCTGCTGGGCAGTTGGGGCGAATAGTTTGGGCTGGTAGTGGTGACTCGAGTGTTTGATTGGCAGTGTCTCAGAGTGGAAGCCCCCTCCGTAACCCACTCCTCCTGACCCCCCTGCCCCGGTGAAGGGGGCGTTGGCGAAGTTACTAGCTGACTCCAGCTCTCTCCCGATAGTTTTGAGGGACTTGACGGAAGTGGAGTGTTTCTGGTGGATCATCGGGTTTATTGGCGGGAAGTCTGGCTGAAGAGGGTCTGGTAGTTTGTTTGTGTCTCTTATTGGTCCTAAAACCAACCAGGATTAAACAAAAAAGCAAATCAAGGAGCGAACAAATGTTGCTTTATCAATACTTTGCTCTTCCTTAATTTACTACAACTAAAGAAACACAACATACCATATGAAAAAACATAGAAGTTTCAAACCTTTTCAAGTTATTAGTGTTTATTTTTTCAAAATAGTTTTATAGAAGCTTTGATTTACATAAAATTAAGCAAGCAGCGTCGCTTTTATTGTGTTTGTGGGGTCGAGCATTTCATTTGTGGTTAAAATCGAGGCTTTTAAACTGAATACAATGAATTAATTTAACTTAATTTGGTTCATGATCACATGTGGCTATGGAAGCGGACAAACAGAAGCAGGTAAATGAAGTTATATGCAGTATTTGGACACAACAGAAAATAATGTACAGTGCGGACAGAAGAATTAAAAGGAGCAGTTTCTTCGAAACAACATAAACAATTTTTCAAAGGGGGGTTTGTAAAAAGCGGGGATGTTTACTTTCGGGTTGAAATTTTAAAATACTAAAAACTGGGCTGTTTTGACGTGGAACTTTGATCATGCTTTCGCAATAGTTTTTTTTAAATAACACCCTACGCCCTCGGCTGTTTTTTTTTGCCTCCCCTGTGCAGTAATAAATTCATTCGGCTCTTTAGATGACCTTCGGTGAAGTGACCAAATACCTGTTGATGATTGGCTGCGGTGGTGTTGTGAAAAATAATCTTCACTCGGAGAGGCTGAAAGAAACGAAATGAAACTTAGTTAATAAAAGACACATGCCATATCAAAAAGAACGCGTGCTTCCATCCGGAAAGAATAAAGCCACATCGCCATCGCCATCGCCACAAGTTCGAAAAATGAGATGCCAGTTTGTAAGAGTCAGATAAAATTAATGAAACTGTTACTAAAAATAAGAGCAGCATGTAATACAATAAGACCAGAAAGCGAAGCATTATTTATCATGGGAGGTAAAATATTTATACTTCTTACCCAAATTAGTAATGTTTTGTCAAAATCACTGACATTTAGTAAAAACACCGATCAAGCCAGTTGTACAAGCCCACAAAACTTTACATCAATCTTTAAGTTCGAAATGATGAAAATAAAAGGGCGCTTTCACACTTTTTAATTATGTTTAAGTCTTGTTTGTCAATATTCAATATATATATTTTTTAAATTGCCAGCCAAGAAATTTTATATAGATTGCCCATTTTATATAGGTTATACGAAATTTTGAGCTGATTTTTATATAACCTGCCAACCAACGGAGGTGAGAATATACATTAACTTCTCTGAAAGAGTCATACCTAGTGCGTCCTCCAAATTATCAAACAGTTGTCCCCCATCTGTGTCGTCAAAGTGCATGGGCTGCACTGAGGGGATCGGAACTTGCGGGGTGCTATACGGAATGGCGTTCGGACCATTCTGTTGCATACTGGACACCGGCTTGGTCACGTAACTACCGGGTCGCGAGTGTTGCGGGGTGATATCAATTAAGTGCTTTAGGTTATCCTGAAAATAATATCGGTTTTATTTATTTTTTTTGTTCTATTTTGATTTTTCAGTTCCTTATTCCAATACTCATGTTTTATTTATTAATTTTTCAGTAAATAATTACGTTCTAGGTGTATCAATTCATTTGAAATACATCATATATTTTTTACTTTATTAAGACTGGAGTCCAGAACTACCTGGAAATGGTCCGCGGGTGCCGAATGCATGTGGGAGTGATGCGACGACTGTGGATTCGGACTTCTCGGTTTTTCGCCGATTCGATTAATCGGGAGGTTGTTCGGGATTTCAAGGTCGCCGGCGTATCTTCGGTGGCTGTCGGGTGAGTTGTCGCCCGGGCGCAGTGGGAGGTCGACGAACGATGCGACTTCCAACTCGAGGTCCGACATAAACTGACGATCTTTTCCGAATATTGAAGACATTTTGAAGCAGTTTGTAACAACTCGTTAATAAAGAGTTATATATATACGGTCTGTTATAACCTTTACAAAAAAAGGTTTCAACTTTTCTTCTTCATCAAGGTAAATGTGGCTGAAAACAGAAAAGTCACGAAATAAAACGTTAACAAAATGTGGAGTTATTAAATAAACAAAAATGTTAGTCGACTCAATTGAATTTTCGAGTGATTACGATGAGTATTTGAAAATTTTCTTTTACAACGAAAAGCGATACTTTGACGTCGTAATACTCGCACTCTGCTAAAGAAATTGTAATGCAATTCTAAGAGACTAAATGGTCAGAGCAATTTTAAAACGACATAAAAAGAGCTTGGCATTATGAATAATTTATATCACCAAGGAAAACGCTGTTGTAAAAACTCCTAAATTTGATCGATCTTAAGTCCTTAAGTCTAAAACCTTTTATTTATCGATCTGAAAAAACAAAGGATTGAAGAGTTGATCAAAATGTGTATCAGGAATCTCACTTACTAACAGCAATGCGTTATACACGTGTGTGGGAACACAATCCTAGATTTGAAGGGAAAAAAGAGTAAAAATAGAAGAAAATTGGAGTTGTAACGCAATAGGACAGGTAAAAAGACAGAAATGGCAGCGCGGAGCTGAATAACAAATAGTCCTTCCTGAAATAAGACTAAGCGTGGCCGTCTCTTTGTGTTGCTACTACGCATGGTATCTCGCCTTCACGGGTCTAAGACAACAAGCTCACCATTTTCGAAGCCGAACGCTCCAAAATTGACAAACCAATTCTTAATCAATGATAAAACCGGTTTCAAAAAGTTTTTCCCGCCTTACAGCTTAAAAATTGCAAAAAATGTAAAAAAAATGAAATAAAAAAGAACATCCGGAGAAAAACATTTGAATATGGCCAGTTCACTATTCGGCTTCAAATCCGTTTGGTGTTACAGTCGGAACCCAGCCCTTACTATAACATAAAACTGACCGCGCACAGAATAAAGGCACCAAAATAGTTCAATGGCAAGTATATAGCAGCAGAAATGAGGGCAGAAAATTCACTACTACTGACTCCACAACATGCTAGCTGGAATACCAGGCAACACTTGGTATTATTTCGGGTTCGCCCGATTAACCAAGTTAGCGTTTAATAAGAATAAGAAAAGGTTGAGGCTAAAAAGTGAACGGCAAGTTACTAAATAATACAAGGGACTACTGCTGTTGCTGATGGCTTAAAAATAAAAGAGCACATAAAATTGTTCACATTTTGGGCAAATTTGATCACAGGTTTTTCCCTGTACGTCCATATTCAAAGGGTAGTACATCAAATACAAGCATAGAAACACAGAAGCCTTCCATTCAAAACAATGATAGGACTTTTTTGTTTACGCTCAGAGAAGTCTTAGAGCAATGCTGTTAGTCGAATCAAATGAATTGTAAATAACGCAGAAAGTAACTATTTTTTATCAGCATTCTATGGTATACCATTGTGGTTGAAATGTGAGGTTCATAAATAATGACTGCAATTCGCTCCATTTCAAATTGTTGCGATTATTGACGCCATCTGATCTAATTTGGATTCATTATAGGGAATTTTATTTGAAACTGCAGAGAAAGCGATAGAAAAATGCATGTTTTGAACTTCCCGGGCTGAAAAGCTCAAACTTTGTTTTGACTTTGAAAATCGAGAAGGCGCAGTTTTGCGCGGTCAAGATTCCGCGCTCGAGAAGCATTTTTAAGTCGAGCCTAAAATCAAAATAGACCAATTTCTGCCAAAAAGACAAATTATAGGTAGCGCCAAGACAACATACCAGTCGAGCACTGCCCACTGATCAGTTTTTTCAAAACAATTCAAATAAATAAGAAGTTAAAGGTGAACAGAAAAATGGCTCAAAAATACCTTGGTCGCAGTTTTGCATTCAGCAACAATCAGTTGAGTAGATTTGCTTACAAAGGGGACCCATTCATGATTTCAAGATTTAATAGTTCCTTTGGCAAGGAAATGTCAATTTTATTAAAACTTTCCCGGATTTACCTCCATAGACCGAAAATGCTGATCATACAATTCCATAAGTTAAGTCTATGAAAAAATTGGAGCCATAAACTTTCAAAACTTTTTGGTAAAAATGTGAATTCGAATTTTATAAGAACTTTTTTGTCAAGAAATTTTTCTTGGCATAAAAGTCGGTGTACCGTGATAAATATACAAGCAAAATTTTCTTTTAGCAAAAAAAAATGCAAATCATAAAATTTCCAGAAAAGGAAACTGCATGAATAGCGTTTTTTTTCGATTGCGGCTTCAAAAAAATTTGCTAATTTTTTCAAATTTCCTTAACAACTTAAAAAACCTTTTTCTAGCGCAAAATAGTTGTTGTACTCGGGCAAACATTTTTTCATGTTTTTGCATGCAAAAATTTAATGTTTGGATGGGCATAACGTAGTCCTGGATACAGTAAAAACGGATTATTTTTTTGATTACTAATCAATTAATTTCAAAAACGCTCAAAAACCCAACTCTTCAGTTTGCACATTTATGTATGGATAAGAATAATTATTGGTAATTTCAAAATTAAAAAGTTAAAACTTAAATGAAATTTTTTGCCAAAACATAGCTTGTTGTTACTTTTGTTATAGTTTTTGTGTATAATGTATCCTGATTCTTATTTCCAATGCATTGTACATGAAACCTTTAGTGACCAAAGCTTTGGTAACCAGGGACCAGGGTCCTTGTGACTCGTGTTCGGTTACAAGCACAACCCAATGAATTTTGAGAAGTAATTAATTTTAAACAAAACAAGACTGCTAATATCAGGGCCAAGCCCTGAAAGTTCCGACTGCCTTTTAACGTTTATGGAGCAGTAATAACATAAACAACATAAAATATTAAATGAAATAAAATAAATGAAAATTTTTTTTTAAATTTGAAAATTTTTCGATAAAAATCATCCCCCCCCACGCCATATAAAGTACAAAAAGATAGATTTCGTTCCTTGTAACAAATCAATAATGGCAAGTAAGCTTCGTTCAACCAATTTGGAACGATTAATAAGAAAGATCAAATCTCCGCTTACGCGTTAATAGCGCGAATTATATCGCGCGTTAATTGTCCCAAATTGGTCAAAATGGCCAAAATGGCAATCTTTAAACCCTCATAACTTTACGAAAAAGGATCACAGGTAAAATATCTTTTCAAATTTGAGCTCAGGATAACAATAGTTTTCGAATGATAAAAAAAAATTTCGTCAAAAATGGCTAGTTAAAAAGTCGAAATTTGTTTGAAGAAAAAAAAAACCCACGCGAGCACAAATATTCCGTTACTTTCGTATCGAAAGTCGGAACAACAAGACTGCTCGTATCAGGGCAAAGCACTGAATGTTCCGACTGCCTTTTAAGGTGTATGGAGCAGTAATAACATAAACAACATTAAAATATTAAATGAAATAATAAAAATTTTAAAAATTTTTAAAAAAATTGAGACTTTTTGTGAAAACATCCCCCCACACGTCATATTAAGTACAAAGTGATAGATTTTGCTACTATTGACAAATCAATTATGGCAAATAAGCTTCTTTCAACCAATTTGGAACAATTTTTAAGACGGATTAAATCTCCGCTTACGCGTTATTAGCGCGAATTATATCGCGCCTTAATTGTCCCAAATTGGTCAAAATGGCCAAAATGACAATGTTTAAACCCTCATAACTTTACGGAAAATGATCACAGGTGAATTATCTTTTCAAATTTGAGCTCAAGACAAAAATAGTTTTCGAATGATATAAAAAAATTCCGTCAAAAATGGCTAGTTAAAAAGTCGAAATTTGTTTGAAGAAAAAAAAAACCCACCCCGAGCACAAATATTCCGTTATTTTCGTATCGAAAGTCGAAACAACAAGACTGCTCGTATCAGAGCAAAGCCCTGAATGTTTCGACTGCCTTTTAACGTTTATGGAGCAGTAATATCATAAACAACATAAAAATATCAAATGAAATAAAATAAATGAAACTTTTTTTTAAAATTTGAAAATTTTTCGATAAAAATCATCCCCCCACACGCCATATAAAGTACAAAAAGATAGATTTCGTTCCTTGTAACAAATCAATAATGGCAAGTAAGCTTCGTTCAACCAATTTGGAACGATTAATAAGAAAGATCAACTCTCCGCTTACGCGTTAATAGCGCGAATTATATCGCGCGTTAATTGTCCCAAATTGGTCAAAATGGCCAAAATGGCAATCTTTAAACCCTCATAACTTTACGAAAAAGGATCACAGGTAAAATATATTTTCAAATTTGAGCTCAGGATAACAATAGTTTTCGAATGATAAAAAAAAATTTCGTCAAAAATGGCTAGTTAAAAAGTCGAAATTTGTTTGAAGAAAAAAAAAACCCACCCGAGCACAAATATTCCGTTACTTTCGTATCGAAAGTCGGAACAACAAGACTGCTCGTATCAGGGCAAAGCACTGAATGTTCCGACTGCTTTTTAAGGTGTATGGAGCAGTAATAACATAAACAACATTAAAATTTTAAATGAAATAAAAAAAAAATTTTAAAAATTTTTTTTAAAAAATTGAGACTTTTTGTGAAAACATCCCCCCACACGTCATATTAAGTACAAAGTGATAGATTTTGCTACTATTGACAAATCAATTATGGCAAATAAGCTTCTTTCAACCAATTTGGAACAATTTTTAAGACGGATTAAATCTCCGCTTACGCGTTATATCGCGCCTTAATTGTCCCAAATTGGTCAAAATGGCCAAAATGACAATGTTTAAACCCTCATAACTTTACGGAAAGTGATCACAGGTGAATTATCTTTTCAAATTTGAGCTCAAGACAAAAATAGTTTTCGAATGATATAAAAAAATTCCGTCAAAAATGGCTAGTTAAAAAGTCGAAATTTGTTTGAAGAAAAAAAAAACCCACCCCGAGCACAAATATTCCGTTATTTTCGTATCGAAAGTCAAAACAACAAGACTGCTCGTATCAGAGCAAAGCCCTGAATGTTCCGACTGCCTTTTAACGTTTATGGAGCAGTAATATCATAAACAACATAAAAATATCAAATGAAATAAAATAAATGAAACTTTTTTTTAAAATTTGAAAATTTTTCGATAAAAATCATCCCCCCACACGCCATATAAAGTACAAAACAATAGATTTCGCTCCTTGTAACAAATCAATTATGGCAAATAAGCTTCTTTCAACCAATTTGGAACGATTTTTAAGACGGATTAAATCTCCGCTTACGCGTTATTAGCGCGAATTATATCGCGCGTTAATTGTCCCAAATTGGTCAAAATGGCCAAAATGACAATCTTTAAACCCTCATAACTTTACGGAAAATGATCACAGGTGAAATCTCTTTTCAAATTTGAGCTCAGGACAACAATAGTTTTCGAATGATATGAAAAAAAATTCCGTCAAAAATGGCTAGTTAAAAAGTCGAAATTTGTCTGAAGAAAAAAAAACCCACCCGAGCACAAATATTCCGTTACTTTCGTTTCGTAAGTCGGAACAACAATGGAAAATTCTAGTCATACAATTTCCATATATGAAAAAAATATACTAACCATAGACATTTCAAGCAATTTTCGGTTTAAATGGAATTGCATAAAAGTGAATGCGTAGCTTTTTCCATTTACGAAAAAATATACTAATCATAGACATTTCAAGCAATTTTCAGTTTGAATGGAATTGCATAAAAGTAAATGAGTAGCTTTTTTTCTTTACGAAAATTGTTTGTGTAGCATTTTTGGTCAGTCAACAAGGATTGTTAAAAATCTTTTTGGGATCAAAAGCTTTAGCGCAATTTTGAAAAGTAATTCAAAATATCAGAGGAAGATTCAACTTAGAACGATGAATTTATGATAAAAAAACAGCTTTTTAGTGATTCTGATTGCTTTTTCTTATCAGGTTAAATACCTTTCCAAAAAAACACCTAAAAACTATGCAAAATAATTCAGTTTTTAGTTGCACACTTTAATTGATAACTGAAAAAGTCGAGACGGTCGAAACTAAGGCCGAGTAAAGCCGAAACATAGCTCAAGCTCGGTAGAAAAAAGGTTGAGTTCAGTGTAAATGTAAGTCGGGCACTGCCTATCAATCTGTTCTTT